CTTTTGGTATGAAATATCGGTGATCACAGATTTTCACTATTTTCTCAATTGGAGCGTTATTTAAGAAACTACAGCCGATTTAAGTTTTCTCTTATAAAAATCGACTTTTGGTATGAAATATCGGTGATCACAGATTTTCACTAGTTTCTCAATTGGAGCATTATTTAAGAAACTACAGCCGATTTAAGTTTTCTCTTATAAAAATCGACTTTTGGTGGGAAATATGGGTGATCACAGATTTTCACTAGTTTCTCAATTGGAGCGTTATTTAAGAAACTACAGCCGATTTAAGTTTTCGCTTATAAAAATCGACTTTTGGTGGGAAATATGGGTGATCACAGATTTTCACTAGTTTCTCAATTGGAGCGTTATTTAAGAAACTACAGCCGATTTAAGTTTTCTCTTATAAAAATCGACTTTTGGTGGGAAATATGGGTGATCACAGATTTTCACTAGTTTCTCAATTGGAGCGTTATTTAAGAAATTACAGCCGATTTAAGTTTTCTCTTATGAAAATCAACTTTTGGTGGGAAATATGGGTGATCACAGAACTTCACTATTTTCTCAATTGGAGCGCCATTTAAGAAACTACAGCCGATTTAAGTTTTCTCTTATAAAAATCGATTTTTGGTGGGAAATATGGGTGATCACAGATTTTCACTAGTTTCTCAATTGGAGCGTTATTTAAGAAACTGCAGCCGATTTAAGTTTTCTCTTATAAAAATAGACTTTTGGTATGAAATATGTGTGATCACAGATTTTCACTATTTTCTCAATTGGAGCATTATTTAAGAAACTACAGCCGATTTAAGTTTTCTCTTATGAAATATGGGTGATCACTTCACTAGTTTCTCAATTGGAGCGTTATTTAAGAAACTACAGCCGATTTAAGTTTTCTCTTATAAAAATCGATTTTTGGTGGGAAATATGGGTGATCACAGATTTTCACTAGTTTCTCAATTGGAACGTTATTTAAGAAACTACAGCCGATTTAAGTTTTCTTTTATAAAAATCGATTTTTGGTGGGAAATATGGGTGATCACAGATTTTCACTATTTTCTCAATTGGAGCGTTATTTAAGAAACTACAGCCGATTTAAGTTTTCTCTTATAAAAATCGACTTTTGGCATTAAATATGAGTGATCATAGATTTTCACTAGTTTCTCAATTGGAGCGTTATTTAAGAAACTACAGCCGATTTAAGTTTTCTCTTTTAAAAATCGACTTTTGGTGGGAAATATGGGTGATCACAGATTTTCACTATTTTCTCAATTGGAGCGTTATTTAAGAAACTACAGCCGATTTAAGTTTTCTCTTATAAAAATCGATTTTTGGTGGGAAATATGGGTGATCACAGATTTTCACTAGTTTCTCAATTGGAGCGTTATTTAAGAAACTACAGCCGATTTAAGTTTTCGCTTATAAAAATCGACTTTTGGTGGGAAATATGGGTGATCACAGATTTTCACTAGTTTCTCAATTGGAGCGTTATTTAAGAAACTACAGCCGATTTAAGTTTTCTCTTATAAAAATCGACTTTTGGTGGGAAATATGGGTGATCACAGATTTTCACTAGTTTCTCAATTGGAGCGTTATTTAAGAAATTACAGCCGATTTAAGTTTTCTCTTATGAAAATCAACTTTTGGTGGGAAATATGGGTGATCACAGAACTTCACTATTTTCTCAATTGGAGCGCCATTTAAGAAACTACAGCCGATTTAAGTTTTCTCTTATAAAAATCGATTTTTGGTGGGAAATATGGGTGATCACAGATTTTCACTAGTTTCTCAATTGGAGCGTTATTTAAGAAACTGCAGCCGATTTAAGTTTTCTCTTATAAAAATAGACTTTTGGTATGAAATATGTGTGATCACAGATTTTCACTATTTTCTCAATTGGAGCATTATTTAAGAAACTACAGCCGATTTAAGTTTTCTCTTATGAAATATGGGTGATCACTTCACTAGTTTCTCAATTGGAGCGTTATTTAAGAAACTACAGCCGATTTAAGTTTTCTCTTATAAAAATCGATTTTTGGTGGGAAATATGGGTGATCACAGATTTTCACTAGTTTCTCAATTGGAACGTTATTTAAGAAACTACAGCCGATTTAAGTTTTCTTTTATAAAAATCGATTTTTGGTGGGAAATATGGGTGATCACAGATTTTCACTATTTTCTCAATTGGAGCGTTATTTAAGAAACTACAGCCGATTTAAGTTTTCTCTTATAAAAATCGACTTTTGGCATTAAATATGAGTGATCATAGATTTTCACTAGTTTCTCAATTGGAGCGTTATTTAAGAAACTACAGCCGATTTAAGTTTTCTCTTTTAAAAATCGACTTTTGGTGGGAAATATGGGTGATCACAGATTTTCACTATTTTCTCAATTGGAGCGTTATTTAAGAAACTACAGCCGATTTAAGTTTTCTCTTATAAAAATCGATTTTTGGTGGGAAATATGGGTGATCACAGATTTTCACTAGTTTCTCAATTGGAGCGTTATTTAAGAAACTACAGCCGATTTAAGTTTTCTCTTATAAAAATCGACTTTTGGTGGGATATATGGGTGATCACAGATTTTCACTATTTTCTCAATTGGAGCATTTCTTAAGAAGGTAAAGCCGATTTTAATTTTCAGTATGTATTTAATAATAAAAAATTTTATATCTTTTGTATGTTTTCATTTACTTTGTAAATTTTACAGTACAAAAGACTTTTTTGCAGTGTATTGCTGTAAAATGCAACTCTGGTTTTCTACCAGCTGTCGTCGTCATACACAAATTATCCACAATTCTTTTTCATTGTTTTTCTTCTTTGTGGATTATATTCTACATTTTTTCGTCCACTTTTTTCAACCACTTTTATTTTATCTTCTTTCGTGTGCCACCATTTTTTCATTTTTACTAGTTTTTTAGAAAATTTCATTGAGTAAACTGTAACAATTGATAAAAGCGGTGAGTAGTAATTCGATTAAGCCAATCGAAGTAATAAAAATCTAAAGAAATTAAATTTAACATTAACAAATCGCTAATTGTTTAATTGTGATTGTTTGTTACAGTTCGATAGTATCATCCATTACACCGGAGCAACTGCAGCAAATAAACAACACAATGCGAAAATCGCATTATACATCGATAGCGCTTTTATTAGCGGTGAATCTTTTAATTGGACCACAATTCATAAATACGGTCAGTGGAGCAGAAGAGGAACAAGATTTCGATGATGGTGTTGTGGAAGATTTACAAGTAAGTGTGGAAGTGTGTTAATAAGAAAAAAAAAAGAAAATGCTGCCGCTGCTGCTTTTCAACATTAGTGAAAGAAAAGTGATTTTCTTAAAAAAAATTAAAGAAATTTATGTACTTGTTAAAGAATGGAAAAAAGAAAAAGTACAAATCGACCGGTTGGTTGATTATTTTTATTACGCTGGTGGTGGTTGTTGTGAAGTACACGTCAGTGTTATTAGAATTTATGATATTTGTAGTTTGTGGTAAATGTTTAATTTTATGAAAATAAGTTATTTTTATAAATAAGATTCATAGGTTTGAGTTGTAGTTTATTAAGTACCTTGTGGTATTCTCTGTGTTAAAATTATGTTAATTAACACTTTTACTTATTTAATTTCCTTTAATTATTTTATGACGTTCGTTGAACCTTTTTTTCTTTTTTTTTTTTTGCTTTCATCGTTTTTATTTTGGTTTGTTGGGGGTTAAGGGTGACATAACCTCAACTATTTTCATCTATTTTCTTTTTCTCTGCTTTTTTTATGCTGGTACGAAGTGCATTGTCAGAATTTGTATTAAGGGATGCCAGATTTTTGTGGTATTAAATGCTGGTTTTAAAATTAAAAGGGGGTTTTAATTTTTGATTTATTTATTTAAATTGAGTGTCATTTTTATTTTTTATTCAGTTTTATTTATTCATTCAATTACAGAATCCTAGCCAAAGGCTATAATCGGCTCCAATAACACTACATTTTATATATTTTTGTTAAACTATTTTGACATTGTGGTTAGAAATGTTGTTTTTTTTTAGAAGGGTTGGATTTTTTAGTAGATTTATTGGGTTTTCAAAATGAGGATCTCATAAAAGTCTCTTTTTAGAAGAGTCGAAGGTATAGTACCATATATTATAACAAAGGGATCAAATACTGGACCCAAGTGTGTGCCCAGTGATGACATCGCAAGGACGACCTACCTACCTAACCTAACCTATAGTACCATATACTCCCCACAAGAGTATTTTTGATCATATTATTTTTATCGTGCAGAAAAGTCATAAATGACTCGAATGTGATCAAAAATGTTTTAAAATTTTGACTAAGATGATAATAAATCATAAAAGTTTATACGAATGAAATATACGGATCACTGATGGCAAATGGAATTTTCAAATTGTACAAAACAGCAGTAGAAATTGTACGTTTTTGATTGTTCTCATGACAGTTGGATCTCCGCTCCGGAACTACCCGTAAGATACTCGGACAAAAACTGTCAATCAAGCGTTAGCTCTATCAACCTAAAGTATTTTTTCCTAGAAAAGAAAGAAATATCAGTCACAGTCGAACTGTTACAACAACTTTTTTGATTGCAATTATTCCAAATGCCAAAAATATCACTAATCGTATTCATTGCTCCGTAAACTAAGATCTTTAAATTAACTATTTTGAATATTAAATGATCCCATCAAATAGTAGTAGTGGACTCATACCACTTCCCAAAATTAACAGCTTATATTACGCATTAGATTAGCCAGTAAACCATTAAATAAAATGATCCATGATCTCTTCATGAACAATACAATAAAGTATTCTATTAACTAGACAATAGGCTAGTTTTTAGACTTGACATTCGACTTAGACAATAGAATAATCTAAAGATTAGACATTAGTGAAGTTTATTGTCTAGTCTATAGAAGAGTTGGTATACTATTCCAAAGACTAACGAAGACTAATGAAAACGAGTTACTAAAACGGAATTTACACAAAAAAGTAGTTAGCAGCTCTTTTTAATTATGAATAAGCCCTTAATGCAACTAGTTAACAGGTTGGACCCTAGCAAAGTCATTAGACTAGTCCAAAGTATAATAAAAAGGACATATAGACTTTCCCAGAAACTTCAATTTCGTAATTTCTGACAACATGGTTTCACAGGGGTGTGCTTCTTTCTATTCGTATTCTATAATAAGTCGAGAAGAGAAGTGGATTGGAATGAAGTATTCTTCAGGCTGAAATAGTTGTTAAAAAATAATGGTTTACTGTTATTGTATATTGGTAGATAAGATTATAAGGAGTCGACCTTTGAGACCGTTACTTTGATATATAAACTCATCCCTTTGTATTACTTTAAACGTTACTTACCTTTATCAGCAACACAATACCACAACGGTGAATAAGAGATTTAGAAGATCTTCGATTAAGAATCTATATTTGCGACTGATACATGCTTAGTTTAGACCGTATGACATATACCCTGAAACGGAGTAAATAAAACAATTGGAACACTTTTGTTTTATTAAAAATTTTTAAAAAAAAAAAAGTTTGTTTTGATGATATTTAAGTATCTGTGCCCTAATACTACCTTCCCAATATGAACTTTGAAGTATTTCTAATTTAAAATATTTTTGTGTCTTAATAATTACTTCATAAAGTACTAAATATTTGAAATTGTCAAAGGGACTTGTCTCCCCGAACACATAAATAATATATTTGTCACAGCTATAGTTCTTTTTCTATGCTAATTCATTTTCGCATAGAAAAACGATTAAAATAATAATAATTACATTTGTCATAGATTTATTTATTATAAACGCATAAATAATAAAAACTTTAATACTCATAAACAACCATAAATAATTATATTTTTGGACCTTGTCACTCAAAAACAAAAAAACAATAAGTACATCTGCAGCTACGTCATTTAAAAATTTACTATCGTTAATATAATTTTACTTAATTTCAAATATTAATCACTTTAAATAGCAAGCAAACAAAAGAAAAATAAATACACATAGAAAATATACGAAAAAAAAAGATAACGAAATTGTTAAAAGTGTTGAATATAGAAAAGAAAAGTTAAATACTTAAGTTTCAATAAATAGGCCAACTTATTAAATAATCAAAAAAAGAGAAATATCTGCTTTAGGGGAGGCCATTAACACCTGTTGTACTCCTCCAAAACATACATATTACCAAAATACACATGTATTTTTTTGTTAAATTTGTTGTATGTTGTTTATTTGTTGTAACAACGACTTGTTATTATGTACGTGCTAAACCTTAAAATAACAAAATCTCATACCACAGGTTATATGCATATACATACCCATATATTCTTTACTATCCCAGAACATTTCTTGTCTTATCTTTAAATTATTGTAACACGTTTAGACAAGTTATGTCAATTTAGACAATATGATGCTAACCTAGCAACAGCTACAGAAAAAAAAAAACATTTCAATATTTCTGCTTTATTATCCACATAATTATGATTTTTTTATATTTAATTTAAAAATGAGTTTTGTTTTTAACTTTTCAGGATGACACTCCACCTGCCTTAGCTACCGATGACGAGGGCAAAGAAATCGTTTATGAAAGTCCCAAATATGATCCCAGTAAATTCTATTTTGTCGATCATTTTGATTATGTTGATAAATCTCAAAAACTCTGGGTAAAATCTCAGGCTAAAAAAGATGATATTGCTGAAGAAATTGCAAAATATGATGGCATTTGGAGTTGGGAACCACCACAACGTATTGTTTGGAAAAATGATATTGGTTTAGTATTGAAATCGAGAGCCAAACATGCAGCCATTGCCGCTAAATTAATGAAACCATTTACCTTTAAAGAGGACAAACCATTGGTGGTACAATACGAAGTAACTTTACAGGTAAGCTGCAAACATAAGTGATTGACACAACGACAGACACACGTTCTAAATAGTTGTTGGCAAAGAATTTGCCACCACAAAGTAAAATGAAAGTAAATCCAATTTAATTATTTTCTTTCTATTTTTTCTTTTCTATGTTTTCCTTTGCGAACCGTAGGAGGGTCAAGAATGTGGTGGTTCATACATAAAATTACTGTCTGCCGGCAAAGCCACTGATGACCTTACAAAGGTTGGTATTTTTTTCTTTTTAAAGGAAATCCATGAAGGAAAAAAACACCGTATTAATATTCATATTTCCGTTTACAGTTCAATGATAAAACTCCCTATACCATTATGTTTGGTCCCGATAAGTGTGGCAATGATATTAAAATGCATTTCATTTTCCGTCATGTTAATCCAATTAATGGCAGCATTACTGAAAAGCATTGCCGTAAAGCAAAGTATGTTTCTTCCCTTAGCACACTTTCTAAACATATAGTAAGAACATGTTATTAAATTTTCTTTATTACTTCTCAACAGAGACCGTTTGGAGGAACCTTTCAAAGATAAATTGCCACATTTGTATACCTTGATTGTACGTCCTGATAATTCCTATGAAATCCGTGTTGATCACAAAGTTATTAATGAGGGTTCTTTATTAAATGATTTCACTCCTGCTGTCAATCCACCACGTGAAATTGATGATCCTGAGGATAAAAAACCAGAAGATTGGGATGAACGTGAAAAGGTAGTTAATTTTTTTAAAACTGGAACTTAAGGAAAGTAAATTATGATTAATTTTGTGCATATTTTTAGATACCAGACCCTTCTGCCCTGAAACCCGATGATTGGGATGATGATGCTCCACCACAAATTCCAGATCCCACTGCTACTATGCCAGAAGGTTGGTTAGAAGATGAACCTGAAATGATTCCTGGTAAGTTTGTTTTTCTTTATAAAACTTTTTTCATAAAACTTTATTTTTTAAAGCTTTTTTTCATTTTCCTTAAACAAAAGTCCTTTTTTAATTTTATTTTGTTTTACATTTTCATAGAAAAGCTTTTTATTTTTATTTCTATAAAGAAGCATTTTAATAATAATTATCTTTAGCTTTCCAAACAATTTTTAAAAAACTTTTCACACTATAATATGTAATTTTTTCTAAAAAAGCTCTCATTTATGTTTAAAAAATCTATAATTTTTTTTTCTTTTTTCACAAAAAGCTTTTATTTTTTTCTTCTAAAAAAGTTTTTTTACTTTTTAAATATAATAACTATTTATTATTTTCATAAAAAAAGTTTTTTAAAAGTTTTCATAAAAAAGCTTTTGCTGTTTTCATATTTTTTAATTTTTGCATAAAAAAGCTGTTTGAATATTTTTATAAAAAAGCTTTTTCAAAATTTTTCAGCAAAAAGCTTTTTTTAATTTAATTTATTTTCAAATTTTTTTAACTATTTTCATAAAGAAGCTTTTTTAAGTTTTTCTATTTTATAAAACATTTTAATAAATCCTTTTACTATTTCGTATAAAAAGCTTTTGTTAATATTTTCAAAACAAATATTAAGATTTTTAACTTTTTTTCATAAAATAGCTTTTTAAACTTTTTTAAAAAAAAGCTGTTATATATTTTCATAAAAAGGCTTTATTATATTTTTCATTAAAAGAGATATTTTACATTTTTCATTATAAAGCTATTTAGTTTTTTCACAAAAAGCTTTTTTTATTTACCATAAAAAAAAGCTTTTTAAATATTTTAATAAAGCTTTTCTAACTTATTTTAGAAAAAATTATTTTTATAGTAAACCTTTTAACTATTTTCATAAAAAGCTTTTTTTACTTTTTTTTTTAATTTATTCAATTCATTTAAAATTTATAAATCTATTTCATTTCTTTAAAGATCCATCTGCAGTCAAACCTGATGACTGGGACTCTGATATGGATGGTGAATGGGAAGCTCCTCTCGTAGATAATCCAGTATGTGAAAAGGCTGTTGGTTGTGGCAAATGGAAGGCTCCCTTAATCGCTAACAAAGAATACAAAGGTAAATGGCGTGCACCTATGATTGATAATCCTAACTACAGAGGCAAATGGACACCAAGACAAATCTTAAATCCAGATTTCTTTGAAGACTTAAAACCCTTCAAAATGACCCCCATAGTAAGAATAACGGAAAACAAATTAATATACATATAAACAAAAATTATAACTAATTGTTTTGGTTTTTGTAGTCTGCTATTGGTATTGAATTATGGTCCATGTCCAATGACATCTTATTCGATAATCTCATTATAACCGATGACATTGAGGTAGCCACAGATTATGCCGCCAAAACGTTTGATATTAAACGTAAATTTATTGACAAAGAATCTGTAAGTAGTCGCTTAAATGTTTTTCATATTTATAAAATAAATTAATTTTTTTTTTAACTTTAATTATCTAAAAAAAACATAAGAAAACTTTATGGCATCGTATGATGCGTCACATGAATTATAAACCCGGTTGGTGGGCTTTGTATTTCTTGTATTTATGCATACCAGCCGGTTGTTATATTTTATATTTATACCGTCGTTCCAAAGAAGAGGTTTAACTTCATTTTTTATTTCTCTAAATTAGTTTTAAGTTATTGCTAATTTAGTTTATTACCAAAATTAACATAATGCTAAATTTCACTTTGTATATTAATTTTGCACATTTGTGGCATTTGTTTGCGTTTTTGTTTTTTTCGTTTGTTTGTAGGATACATTTTTAAATAAAATTATAGCTTATGGCAAAGAGAATCCTTGGAGCTGGCGTATTGCCATTGTTCTCATTGTAGCACCATTGGCATTCTCATTGTATCGCTTCTTAAGTAAAGGAGGCAAAAAGGTAAATATTGCTAGAATTTTTAGTTGAAATTTGATTGTGCAATTAGTGTGCTGATGTTGAAAAATCAATCCTATTCTTTTATTAATATTATTTTGTTTCGTTTCATTTATTGCGCGTGTGTGTATTTAGGATACTGCTGCAGATGCTAAGAAAACCGATGCTCCTCAGCCAGACGATGATGATGTTGCCCCTGAGTTGGTTGCTGCTGAGACAAAATCTAGTCCCAAAAAGAAAAAGTCTGATTTAGATGTTAAAAATGATGATGGTGCAGGCGCCGCCGATGATAATAATGAAGAAGATTCTAGTGAAGGCTCTTTGCCTTCCGAAGAGTTAGATAGTGGAGATGTTGAAAAAGAGACTGAGGTGAGTGTTAGAAACTATTAACTGATAATGACTAGACAATGACTAGACAATGACTAGACAATGAATAGACAATGACTAGACTATGACTAGTCTATGACTAGTCTACGACTAGACTATGACTAGTCCATGACTAGTCTATGACTAGACTATGACTAGACTATGACTAGACTATGACTAGACTATGACTAGTCTACGACTAGACTATGACTAGTCCATGACTAGACTATGACTAGACTATGACTAGACTATGACTAGACTATGACTAGACTATGACTAGACTATGACTAGACTATGACTAGACTATGACTAGACTATGACTAGACTATGACTAGACTATGACTAGACTATGACTAGACTATGACTAGACTATGACTAGACTATGACTAGACTATGACTAGACTATGACTAGACTATGACTAGACTATGACTAGACTATGACTAGACTATGACTAGACTATGACTAGACTATGACTAGACTATGACTAGACTATGACTAGACTATGACTAGACTATGACTAGACTATGACTAGACTATGACTAGACTATGACTATACTA